CCCCCCCCCCCCCCTCAAAATAGACTGCAACAACCGTATTCATCAAATACTCGATGGTGGAGAAAAATAATTTCAAATTAGAAAACAAAAAAAAAGATTATTATCGAGTATATAGCAATAATTATAAATGAAATCGAGCGCGCTTAAATGAAAAAACAATATTTTCTTTTTTTAATATATATTTTTAATATACAAATAAATAATAAATTCCGGCTCTTTTCATCGATTCTCAAGGAAAACAACTATAGTTGATGAGAAGTCTTTCAGTATACAGATGATGCGTCAGGTAACAAAGCTAAAGGTATACGTGAGTTCCACATTTCAGCTCCGTAGGAGCTGCGCTAACAAGCTTTTTATAGTATTTTCATAGAAAAGCCACTTTTTGAACGTAGGAGAAACAGCAATTCTTTGAAAACTTTTGACTAAACCTTTAGGCAATTAGTTAGAAAAATCTTTCTACGCATAATTCGATGCGTCTTCATGTGCTCTTTCCAATGGTGAAAAGCGGAGATTTCTATCTCGTTCCTATCAAAAGGTATTCAAAAAATGCCCACGGGCATTTAACTCTGAAATGGACATTAGTCATGAGAATATATGTACGACACGGCGTAATCGGCATGCTATCGGGCTGATGAGTCGACATAACTAGTGATTATTAAATTGTTCAAGATCATTCAATGATTGGTGGTGCAGAGGCTCGGGTATAGTACCTTGGCGACATCTATCAAACAGCGTAATAACTCAGACTTTGCAACTAGTGATGTGTGGAAGAACAAAAGATCCGCAACCATACTCACATCCACATCTACGGGTAGAACCACTGAGATGGAAGGAGAGAGAACTATTGGAACTGAGCTGTCTTGCCGAGAAGCCGATCCCTATGGCATTGCAATGTGCGACTCCCACCATCTCAATTTTGGTTACGCCACTAGCAGAGATGAGCACAGGGCAAGATTTTCTCTCATATTCTGTCTTGTCCTGCTAATTATCTCGATTATGGCGAGCGGCAAGACAGAGCAAGATTTTGATTTTTGTCCTGTCCTGTTTTAGTCTTGCTAATTTTTCTGTCTTGGTGGACAGCAAGATAAGACGTCACGATTTCTGCCGTTTTTCCGTCAATTAAATCAGTTTTAACAGGTTGTAAAATGTCAAGAGTAAGAGTTTTACTTTTACTTGCATTTTACAAAGCAAATAACAGCAGTCCACATTTTCTAACGCATGCGTTTTATATTATATTCAAGAAAAAACAATTAGAGATGAACACAGGACAAGGTTCTTTTACCTGTCCTATTTTGTCCGGTCACCTGCTAGGACAGGGCAAAAATAAAAATCTCGTCTTGTCCTACAGGACAGGACATCAGGACAACAGAACCGTCCTGCCCTGTGCTCATCTCTGATCAAAAGACACACATTTTCAGAAAAAAGCTTGTAAGAAAACAAAATCGCAATATCAATACTCACAACACGGTGCAGGATCAAAACTGTTATAATGGACAGGCGCGGTTCGAAATCAGAGTTAGCTAATCGTAAGTAGTGCAGTTCTGATGTTAGTCACCTATAATCTGCATAAAAAAGAAGATTTTGGACAACGAAAAAAAAATCCATCGAAAAACCATCATATGCATTCACATCTAACCCATTTATTATAAAATGGCTCGCTATGTGAGTTGTATCGCTTGGTTTTTTCTTCTTTTATGTACCCTTGACATAAAAATTTATTAGCTTTCCATGTGCTGTGCTGATAGCAATTGATTTGTCATTTTCTCGAAAACTTCTCGAGTCTTTTGCGTTAATAGTTGCCTACCTGCTGTTGGTATATCAATAACATAAAGACAAAAACTGCAATTAACAAACTTCTTCCGTCTGGTGTATGTCCGTGTGTGGGATCTAGATCTGGGTATCGCATATAAATGTCGTGTTTCGGTGGAGGTGAGTGTGTGATATGGGCATGTATGGTGTATAGCAGTGTGGGTGTGGGTGTGGGTGCGGGTGTGGGTGTGGGTGTGGGTGGGTGTGGGTGGTGTGGGTGTGGGTGTGGGTGGGG